TTGCTAAAATTTCAAAATCAAAAGTTATCAAAACAAATTCTATGGGATTGAGAAGTATTATTTTCTACTTTTTAGTCCATTTATAAAAGCGTTGTATATTAAAAAGTTTTTTTTATGTTATTTATTTTGTTTGAAGTCACAATGCAACTGAAATTAAAGCTTTTTTGATAAAAGATAACACCGTGCGACAGTCAATTTTAGACAGAAAAAAATCAATATATTCACAAAACTGGGGGCCAAATATAGTAAAACTGCATTTTTGGTATTTCTCTCTGACGTCAGGATTTTTTTAAAAGGACTTTGAAATTTCTAGAATACGATTGAATAAAAAAAACATTTAAAAGATGCGGCGCATTGTAGAGTAACAATATGGGTATCAGTTAAAAGGAAAAATTCTGTAGNATTTTTGGTATTTCTCTCTGACGTCAGGATTTTTTTAAAAGGACTTTGAAATTTCTAGAATACGATTGAATAAAAAAAACATTTAAAAGATGCGGCGCATTGTAGAGTAACAATATGGGTATCAGTTAAAAGGAAAAATTCTGTAGAATAGAAAAGAAATTTAATTTTTGGGTGCACCAGGACAAATAAGTATTGAAAATGTCCTTATAAAACTTTATCCTTGAGTATGATTGGAAATTTCCAATATTTGTTTTTGAAAAATATATATGTCAAGGATATTTATAACGACATTATCAACATTTATTCGTCCTGGTGCAATTAAGAATTAATTTATTTTTAAATTCTACAGAACTTTTCCTTTTAACTAATACCCATATTGTTACTCTACAATGCACCAAATCTTTTAAATAATTTTTTTATTCAATCATATCTTGGAAATTTCAAAGTCCTTTAAAAAAAATCCTGACGTCAGAGAGAAAAATTAAAAACCAAGTTATACTATATTTGGCTCCTCGTTTTGAGAATATCTTGATTTTTTTGTGTGTTTTAAAAATTTTTGGTTTTTGTCGCACGGTGTAATCAGCATTAAAAATTTAATATTTTTTAAGAAAAAAATATATCATAACTACAAAAAAAAACATTAAAAATATAAACATATCTACTTCTAAAGATATATCACCCGAAAATGCAGAAAATTCGCTTCAGATAATACGCTCTTTAAAATACATTTATACAAATGTTATGTACAACATGTAGAAAATAAATATTTAAGCTTTTTAACTTTCCATAAATTGCACTTTACATAAAATTAACAAAGAACTCAAACATTTTTAACCGACTTCAAAAAAGGGAGAGGTTATCAGTTCGTCGGAAAATGTTTTTTTATTTTT